CTGTTTCACTACTTTCCGAACTCAAATCCCACTGATTGCAAATCTTTATACAAGTGTGTTCATGTTCGGTTTTTATGAGAAGTAATCATCTAGTCTGCTGAGTTCACCGTAGTAGTGGCCATAGTGTTCGCTCTGTTCTCCCTCTCAGTCTTCACCATATCACCATACTGTCTGTTTTCCGAATTTGGAATACCCTTTTTGCAATCACTTTTCTAATAGCCTGTCAAGTTGTTTCAATACATTCTGAATTCTGTCCCAGTGACTACAAATCTTCATGCATTGGATGTAGGAAGTAGTTTGCGAGCGCTTCCGTATCCAGTCTTTATCGAATCCTATAAGCTTTGATAGGTACAGTCAGCTCGTCGTCTGTACGGCTTTGCAGGGTCTGGATGACTTAAGTTCATAAATGCTGATATATCTGCAAAAAAAAAAAACTACAATCTAATATTTGCTCTATCATATCAGATAGAATATTGATTGGCGATTTGACATGATATCAATGGTCTAGTACTCGCGATGAACTCTTCTAGGTTCTTTCACATGTTTTGAACATTTAAGCATTTATTACTTTTTCAAACCATCTGCTTCGTACCCCAAACCTTTAATATTTTGTCGCTCGTTAGGATTTTCAAGCACTGCAAGACAATTGTAGTCGTTCCGTATAGTCATCAAATATTTTTTAGTCCGCCGTTCACTATGGACTTCATCAACTTATCACACGCAACAACTTTTTGTGCTTCGGACAATTTATTTACAGCTTTAGTACTCGTAGTTGGGAATACTGATCTTCTAGTGCAAAACGCGATTATGTTGGATATAGATTTACTGTCGCACGCCGCATATTGTACTCTTGTGGACAAAGTGCCCTAAGCGGATATTTAGGACCGGACTAAAGGATCGTAACTAAGAGATTATTGCAGGACAGGACCAGAGGACGGGACCTAGAAGATTATTCAGGACCCAATCAGATGACCGGACCATAGAGGATGTTAGAATTTATTAAGACGATGACTCATACGACAGCATCAAAATTTAGTATCTAGGAGACCAAAACCATACAGTTGGGTATTTTCACTTTATTACTTTGTTAGAAAAAATATCGACCCACATAGGAACGAGATTAATAAAAACAGCAGGGGCACCGTTCATATCGGCACTTCTGACTAAGTCTACTTTTTCAGACTTAACACTATACTAAGCTCTATTCTTCGGCCATTTTGACTACATTTTCAAGTGACCCAACTATTGTATTTGTCACACTACGTTCTTTAAAAGCTAAGTTAACTAAAACCAAATTAGATATTATTACCACTACAATGAGCGGACCTACTACTACACCGGTACCTGAGGTGGGCAAGAAAGCCTGTGATCGCCTGTCGAAACGTCTGCTTGTAGTATATCGTCTATTGCCTTTGATCTGTGCTAAGGTGGAAACAGCATTTTCCATTGATCCCACACCGGTTGCTGGAGTTAAGGAAGAAGTCCATGCGACGTTAGCCAGACTAGTCTCTGAGGCTCAACACATGATTTCTACGTTGGATAACAGGATAAGACCAAATAATTTATTGAACGAGTTGCTGACCGGGAGGGCAACTTGGGAATGCTAGCGAATTGAACACTCATGTGCAGAAAACTACGAAGATTATTTGCCTAATCCGCGTGAAATTCCAACGGAGGACGTAGATTTGACTCACGACAATGACACGGTCCAGACGACATCGGGATGAGATGATTTTATGCAACAGACAGTACAACCAACGCAACCATGTTGGGCTCCCCAATTCCCAGCGCATGCATGGACAATACCGATTCGAATCCTACCTACAGCGGGGCTATCGAAATGAAACAAATCAGTCCAGTGAACCGCAGAATTGACCGCACGAAGCCTGTTCCTTAGGTAGCGCCATACGATACTGTATACATCACTCGTAGACAACTCATGTTGAAAGACGGGTACATAAGAATTCGACACCAGATGAGATGCTGACAGAATTTTGTGGCTCTGGTAGTATTCAGGAGTCGTCAACTGTTGTGAAATCTCCTGGCAGAAAGTGTCTGAAATCAGCAAACTTTTATTTTGCGGTGGAAACTCCACAAAGGTTGCCTTCATCAGCGTTCCTTTGATGCATTCTTAAGAGTAATAAACCAAATACCATCTCCACGGCAACCGTTAAAATCAATGTCAGCCAGCAGCAAAACTATTTCGGGACAAGCTACATCATCATCGACATCTATGTTCACACTTCTAATGTACCCGTCGATACGCTAGTATTTCGGAAGCACTTCAATGCGATCATTACTTAGAAAGTCGCGTAGGCCGCAAAATGATGTATGCTAATATAGACTAAAGATACAGGCATCACTGAATTCACAGCGGCGGAGATGAAAATGCAAATCTGCCATCCAACCCAACGCATGATGCAAGTGGAAGAGGAGGGACGCATAGAAGGTGCACGCGCGATACAGGGTCTTATTTGTACATTTAATAAAACTTTAAAAACAAGCTCATTGACATCAGCCAAACGGATACCCAACAAATAACCGCCTGATCCACAAGTAGCTAATACTTGGATAACCCGCATAATACACAGCTACAGCATTTTTCTTAGACTGGAATAAGAATGCGCGATTTCATAAGCTGAATCCATTTCATTTGCAAATGACCCTACACAGAGCTCTACAGGAAGAAGAGGCTCCTAAGGCGCTATTGGACTTCATCGCTGAGAAGAAGAAAAACGGAAATTACAAATAATCTCATTTGAGGAGCCACTGTTCTTATTGTACGCACACAAGAATAGAACTTGGAAAATAATGCATATAGACAGGTTTTGGCATGCATAAAGATGAGACCTACTGTACCACTCGATACACATATTCACAATTTCGAACGCAAAGTGGAATTCATGGAGAGGCCTAAGTATGAGAGCTCGCTGCAGGTGTATCGCAATCCTTACAAGTCAAGCTGCTGGTGTATAGTACTACCGCGATACCCTTCGAGAAGATGAGTGAAGTAGTCCGTGCGACCACTGACAAAGTAAAAGAACATCGTCGGGAAAGTCTATCACGGCCACTGCAGATTCTGGGGTGTTCACGTTCTCCTTCATGTTCACAATTGCCTTCTATTGATTACAGTAAACCATATTTTTTTACCAAGTATAAAACTACGGTCAAACATCGGAAGCTCAACAAGGTTTATCCTAGCATCAACCAAGGAGAGAATCTAAACTCAGAGAGGGACACATAGATATTACAGTTGGAAATTAATCTCGGAGCCGTAGTGCCGGGAGTACGGAATCATCAATATAGAAAATCCCCGATGGGCATAAGGGCATCCCTAAATATCGGAGGAGTACAATCTAAACGTATAAGGCCAAAGATTGCAATGGAAGCCACGGTCAGTTGAAGACGTGGCGACGCCGCCTTTGGATTGGATCATAGATTAAGTGAGAACCTTTTTCACCTTACGAGGTATTTTTTAATGGCTCAAGGATTACGAGTCCAATGCATATAAAAACAGGGACTCGAATCAAATAAATCACAACAATTCACTTGAAACTTAAAACACTTTAAGATACTTTAATATCTGAGAACAATACCTTCAGGTGCGAACACACGAGTCAGTCTGAGAGACTACACGAGTAGACGTATTTTTATATTCGGTTATAACGTTTTACGTCGTCAGCCCGAGAGTAATTTGGGACTTGTTCTCAAATAGAAGTATAGGTGGGTCAGCCCGAGAGAACTTAAGAGTAATTTGAGACTACTTCTCAAATTATTCTATTTATAGGACACGGGCCACCGGCTAGCCGAGAGCCGAGGTCCCAGACTGAGTGTAGTAACAGAGAATATGATATATTTATTTCTAGAAAATATATCCGAGTGCTAAAGTGTTCTGCATATGGTTTCTCATACTGATCATATGAGTTTTTACCCTGGCCAACCCAAGTGGTTGAACACTGATACAAACACCATCAGTATATAACTGAGGGTGAGATCATAAATAAATTCATTCGAACGCACTATACTTTAGATACGCTAGCACTTTACTCATAGTCCCCCACATTGAAAATTAACATAATCCGCATGTGCTACCAGCATCGAATCCTCGTGTTCAGTGTCAATCATGTGAGCAGAGCCTTCCTCCAGGAAGACCAAAGAAGAGAACAGTTTGGATCGAGATGCTCGGGTGTCTGACGTGAACATGTGCATGGTGTTTGGTCGTGCTGCAACGAGAATATTAGCAGTGAAAGATAAACTGTTTTCTGCCGACCACCGTGCGTACATCAATTTGCAAGTGCACGGTCATGATATGCGCACCCTTATTAACACGGGGGCAAATCGTTCAGTCATCACTCAGGCATCTGCAGATAAGGCACAACTAGCCGTTGAACCAATAGCTAAGGATATCTATATTTATTTGGCGGAAAAGTTTATCTGTACTTCGCGTTTAGGTACACAATTCGGTAATGCAGCTACCAAGGGCACGTGAACTGAGCCTTAGGTTGGCCGACCCAAATATGGGCCAAGGTTTGGGCGGACCAGACCAGACCAGACCTGCCATCAGTTTTCATCAATTTTATGTCATCAATTATTTGGTGTGAATTCTCATGTGGGATAATTCACATGTCATAACTATTTGGTATCCATAGAAAGTGTGTGGCACGGAAAGTGCCACACGCTACAACACTTTTATTATAACCTGTACGTGAATATATTTAAAACTGTCGTGTGCGTCTAGATGCATGATTACGATAGAGACACTATACTATTTTTTTCTCGCAATGTCGGCATCAGTGAAAAGGTTTGAGGGGTTGATGGACGTCGACTTTCATGGATGGGTGAGATCTGAGGCTCAGAAAATTCAGGAGCGTTGGTCGCACAACCCGAGTAGCATTGGAGTGCCCTCGGTGAAGTAGCCACACGCTGGAAATAGCTATTTGTTGAATGATTCTACCACAGCGGATCAAGCGAGCATCCGCATGATATCAGGCGATAGATAGATGGCGGTGGATATGATAGACTCAGTTGTGTTAGCACGGCACAACAAGATTGTAGCCATGTTGTTCACGCAACCGACGAGTTCCATGTTGAAGACGCTATATAGGCTGGCAGGTCTGTTTTCCAAGGAGCCAGAAAAGATTGAATGCATGCTGCATAACCTCCACACTTGTGGTATGTGGGAGATAATGGCGCACCACTCGTTTACACTGATGAACCGGCAGGCCGAAGAGGGTGGGACTAGCAGCACTGCGGGACTGTTTGGCACGGCTCCAATGGCGGGCGCTGCAGGTAGCAACCAGACGCTGGGAACTTGACTCTGCAACCAAATTCATGCATTAGTGAAACTGTTGGCCAAAGCGGGGGTAATAGCACCGGGTGCACCGTTAGGCGATTTCAAGGTGGTAGACTATATCGTGCAAGGCATGCGCGAGCACTTGGGCAAGGCAGCTAAGATGACCACGCGGGAAGGGTTGATAGCTGGGTCTACGCTATAATTTTTTTCTCAGCCCTCACCGAGTTTATTTGGATAAAATTGATTAGGCAAGGATATTATCTAACATTTGGTATTAGGTCGTACTGGTTTAGCATCTCCATACCCAGAAATTAGTCGCAATATTTTGGACGAATTACTGGAACCGATCTATCGTCGCATGGTTTCAGACCTGCTAGAGCTAGACGACATCTGTAACCAACTGCGACAATACTTTGACGCTAATGAGACAATATTGGATGCGGTTCGCATTCCAATAGTTCCGATACCACGAGACAAGTTACCGGGCATACGTAGACAGACACACAATTTTGCATCGAACAAGTATAATCACAAGTATCAAAGCGGGAACATGAGTTGGTGATCAATCGTCGGACATCGGCGTCGATTGCAAACCTTTCATTGCTGACGGTACCATCCTATACACCGTCAGGAGAGCTTCTCAAAGTCGGTGTATGTCTGGACTTACGTCAGATCAATGCTCTCATTCCAGGGGATCAATTCACGCTAACGAAGGTTAGTGAGATCGTCAGCAACTTGAAGGACAAGCGATACTACACAACGTTAGATTTATCAACAGCATACCATCGATTGCCGGTCTACGCTGACTCTGAGTATATTTTTCATTAACATGGGATGGTTTTGACTACTCTATACCATTGACATTGGTTAGATTGTTAATATATTCAATTGACTGTTCACATCAGTATTATGTAGTCCTTCTAAGATGTTTCGAATCTGGTCAGTTGCTGTAATCGACACTCCCCGTATGGCGTTTTTCAATACCAAGGCTACTTTATGGGTTCGTCACCCCATAACTATATTCGCATTATGGCCTATTGCTCATTGACAAACCTCCACCTGATTCCAAACCGTTGCTGAAGTGCGTATCTGGTCTAGGTTCCAGCAAGTCTCAAGCCCTCAATACTTCCGCCTGTCATTTAAATATATTCACACCAGTGTGAGTACCTCGTATTTCTTTGAAACCTAGAAAAACAAACATCTTGTATTTAGACCTCATAGTTTTAATTACAACAAGGAAGCCCAAGTGATTGACACGACTAGAATCCTTCCAAGCATCGTTTTCTAACACTGCAAACGGGGTCATAATAATGAAGTTTCTCATTTCACTTCTTGCTCATTTCACTTCTTGAGGGTACAACTCTTGATTGACCCCTCTAACACCGAAAGACACATCCGTATTGTCTCGGGTGCGACAGGGGTATACTGTGAGTGTACAGTGATCGGTACTTGCAGTGCTGCATTCAACCAAACTCTGATTTCAGGTTTCTCTAGTTCAAATGGTTTGACGATACAAGCTGTCCAATATAAGTCGGCTAGGTCCTCAGAGCTATCATACTTAGCTTGGGGTTGCTGTTTAGTTGCTGATGATTGCACAAAGTTGGATGTACTTGCCTGTCTGCTGGCCCTAGTCCCCCTGCTATTTTATCTTCTTCGCGACTAGCATACTAACACCGTCAAACCAAGCTTTGGCATGACCTTTCTCATAGTGGATCGTTGTATTGTTGACATTCTTTCGTGTCCATGTGTATAGTTTATAACCATCGCAATATGGTTCTTCATCGGTCGCAAATTTCTTAGCAGAGAAATCTAGCTTCAGTTCGTTTGTTATTTTCCTGTACAAAAGTGTACAATCTTAAGTAGGTGTGTCTATAGTCTCGGACATAATTTCAGCTCCTATACAGTCCTTGCGTATCTGTAAGTATATATCTAGGTTCAAACCAATATTGTTTAGTTAAATTAGTATTAGAAAGGGTTTACCGACTACCTGGGCGACCAGACAACTAACTGATGAACCATGCCGCATGGTTGTTGTTATTTTCTTCGTTAGGATTGATGTTCTGGTATATATA